AAATGTTGGAGATCTGGATTCAGTTCCCTCTTTTGTCTACAAGGATTCAAATTTCCTTCCCTAACCTCTCAGTTGTATTGATATTGAAATAAAGAAAGTAATATGCAAAAAAGTTTTCTAAGAGATTAGTGGTATAACATTAACATTTAAAATTTGAGAGAGACATTTTGACAAGTAACATGCTGTGAATCAGATTTTTGTTGCTGAAGGATTGTCAGCGAGGTTTCATCTTTCCTGTGTATATTTTGAAAAGCCAAGAGAATCAGATGTTCTTGTTTCATAAGCTGACAGAGGCATGATTTTAACCTGTGCAGTGAGGAAAACTCCCCTCAGAGCATGGCCACCTTATTCTCTGTGATTAACTCCAGTTGGCTGAAGAGCAGAATTTATAAGAACAACTTCAGGGTATAGAAAAATAACAGTAGGAGATGAATATGTAAGTAACAAATATCTTGTTTCCATGGAATTATAGTGAAGGAAGACAAATAAATACATTTCACATATATTATCATTGTTGCAAACAGAGGATTCTCTATGTTGTCAGCAGAGAAAAAGATTACTGAAAATGCTTCTTAGTGGTTCGGGTCTGACATCATGGCTTTATATGTGTTCATTTCCCTTTGCACTAGGAAAAAAAGTGTTCTTCTCTTGATTGCTGACGTTTGTACAATAGGAACATGTGAAATAGAAATACCACATAATGGGAATGTTTTTATTATGTATTTAATAAAAAGTTATGTTTCTTCCCTAGATAATATATTCATAGACATCAAGGACAATAGTTTGGAAAATTAGTAATTAAATTTTTGTAGAATATAACATATTACTCTTATAATCCAGTGAAAAGCAGTGATTCTTGTAAGTGTTGATCAAGTAAAATCCACCTAACTTTGTAATAAAGTACTGTCCTGTGGTGTATATGGGAAAGGTTTAGGTCCTTTGCGCAAAGCTCTGTTATAAAATTGAAAAGCTGAAAATTTGTAATTTACTGCAGTAAGACAGACCTTTGAACCAAATATTTGGAATAGACTTTACCTAAATTGTTTTGCTTGTTTTTACTGTTAATAACATACATTTGTTATGGCTAAATTGACAAAAAGTAGGTTAGAGATTTAGCGTTAATATCCTGGAGACAGCCTCAAGAGACAGCTCCTTGCACTGTGGCCAGATTATCAATACCTTGACAGTTAATCTAAGTTCTTAAGTACCTGCAGTTAAGATTTTACAACAGTTCTTACTAGGTTGTGCTGGTGCTTCACTGACCTTGAAAGGCTTTTTCTATTATGGAACCTTAGTCCTGTTTTTCCCCTGCATATTAAAATATACACAGAGTTTATAGAGGAAGAGAGGGAACAGTTATAAAAATAAACTTGACACAGATTACTTCAAACAAATAGTAACTTTTGGTCTAAATATTACGTTTCCCACAGTGAAACTACAGTATCAAAGTGGTCTACAGATAGATTGAATGCAGATTTGTATGGAGGTGAAAAGCATCTGGTAGCACTGTAATGTTGTAATGAGATGAAAGCTTCGTTGTAACTAAGTTTATATTCATGTTATACCAATTAGCAATTTCAGTGTTAATATTTCACAATTTGGCACGTGATCATGAAGCTTATATTTTGAGCAGGTAAAAATGTAACTTCTTGTCTTGCTTTTTTCTTGGTGAGTTTGTTAGCACTCTTCCTGAATTTTGACTATGTAAACAGAAACTTCTAAACTGCATAATGTCTGCACCACCAGACGTGATTATCACAGAATACCTACTTAAAACGATGAATGGATTTCCACAATGTGAACAATAAACTCTGTGCTGGAGAAAATGCTTTCAAGAAGGCATCTAATAATACTCAGTATCCCTGATTTTAACTCTGTCCTGCAATGGAAAGTCTTTCTTCAGTTGTTGATCTGAGCTCTGTTGATCTCAGCTGTGTCTTTACCTTCCCTGATTCCTGTTTCTTCTTCTCTTCCTGGTAGGATCTTTCTGTTTTCTTTCAGAAGAAAACTGACAAAATACAACTTCACCTGCCTCTTTTTCTCATGTCTTTTACCTACGTGCCCCCTTATCCCTTATCATAGACACAGAAATTATATGTTTCTTGTCCTTTATCCCTGTTTTTACCTAGTAACATCAGTCTGTCTTCTAATGTGCTTCACACCTCATTGTTTCTTTTTTCTTCTGAAGATCTCACTTTCTTTTATATTAGGATTTTCCAGATCATAACTGAAAAGCAGGGTCTTTTTAAAAATACCTTTGGGTCAGCTTGAAACAAAATGGGTTTGAATCTTTTTTTTTTACATGAAATGGAAAACAAAATATTGTTTAGATTGTTTCTTCGGTGAATTTAGTTGTTTCATTTGAATGTCTTTAAACTTGTGTCACCACAACGTTTTGTAGGAAGAAACTTACTAAGTTTATTATAGACTAAGGATTAAACAACATACTTTTGTTTGTTTCAAACCTGCTACCTGTCTCAGAAGTCAAAATATTTTGTTTTAGAAAATATTGTAGCAAAACATTTATGTTAGACCTTCTCTCCAGATTTTCATCAAGGCTATACCTACCAATTCTTTCTGTGCAACAGTTCTAAGGTACAGGCACTTGGTTGCATTTTCATCCACTTACAGATCTGAAACATCACCTAGGTCTTCTCTTCCCACCGTTCAGCTGGTGACATCCTTTTCTCTGGCCTTGGCAAATGCACTCTTGTCCTTCTCACATCCACTCAGGATTCTGTTGTAAAGGAATGATATTTCTAGCCAATCCTTATGTAACTTTGTAATATCACACTTGTTTCGTTTTTCAGTCATTTTCCCCCTTCTCTATTATATCACACAGAAGCCACTTGTCTTCCCTTTCAAAGTACTTCAGGACTCATTCCCACTCAGTCATCACTTATTTACTATTTCTAGCATTCTAAACATTATTCTGATACCCATTGTAATCAGTTAAACTGTCATAAACTGATTCAGACTGAGTCCTTATTAGAACATCAGTAAACTGCACAAATAAGTCACAAATAGGAAGAAGTTCTATCATCAGCTTCTCTCAGTACAGATGTCAAAGCCCTTTGAGCGTTTGAGGGGGACTGTTACCCAGCTGCTCGCTTTGTGTTATGTCTTTTTTGTGGACTTGCAGCATGATCACGATCAAATTTGAGGCCTAAGCTTTGAACAGTGTCAGGTTGACTGTGGTTAAATTCCTGGACCAATAAAATAATAAGATGAATAAGCACTATAGGGATAATGTGTTACAATTTTAAAAGACCAGAAAACTTAAGTATTACCTAGTAGTTTTGATAGGCTGAGGCTTTCAGGTGTGCAGTATATAATGTGCCTGCTGAATCAAGCCATCTTTCTTTTAAACTTTCCATTTTGTATTGTACTGTTTAAGTTAGGAATCAAAAGTTTTCTCATTTACAAGTGCCAAGAACCGGAGAATAAATGTACACTTGTAATTCATTTTCAGCAATTTACAATTTGCAACTCATTGGAATTTTATTCTTGGAATTGAATAAAGAACTTTTGGAGAAATAACCAAAGATTTAAAATTCAAAATTTGCAGCTTAGAGGATGGAAATCAGAGAATTTTGTTGAGGTCCTTTAGTAGTAAGAGTATATTTGCTATCAACAGTGAATTTTTATTAGTGAGGACTGGATTGCTGCTTGAAGCTTCTGTCAGACTTCGTGGAAATCTTCTTTAAAAAGGACTAGTTAAAATGTCAATACAAAAGTTATTATTGTAGGTGTAGGTTCATAATTTCTTCTTGTAGCTATCACCTCTATAATTTGAGATTCTGTAATGTATTTGAGTTTTATCTGTCAGATTAAGTTACTTGCTTAACTTTTATCTTGATGAGGATTTGAGCTATTTAGGTTTTAGGACTGATCTCTTGCCCATATCAGCTGTTGCTGGAAATGATAGCGACATTTGGAATCTGGAAGAGTCAGCTTCACAAAATCATCCTGACTCCGTAAGAGTGCTGCCAGATTCCCAAATGAGTCAAGCCATAGTTGAAAAAATCTGTGGATCCAATTTACGTTTTATCTGAGAGAATCATAAAGCGATGTATTGATAATTCAAAAGTCTCTTCTTGGCCACCAAGCAAATTGCTGTGCCATTGGCTAGATTGCGTCCAGTTTCTTCTTTTCAGTGATATAACTCTATGTGCTAGTGCATGAAAGTAAGAAATGAAACAACTATGGCATGATTAGCATGGCAGCATAAAGAATTATTTTTGTTTTCTTTTTTTAAGGCCAGTAATGAGGGGTTAAAATGATAAAAGTTAATATTAGAAGCTCCCATCAAAGATATGACGTGGTGAGAATGCATAAGAGATCCGAATTTTTGGAAGCTTGTGGGGTGGAAATTAAAGCATCACCTGCTGCGCCTTAGGACGGCATTCTAAGACCCAAGACAAAGGGTCTATTGCAATTCTGTGTCCCTGGATCAATTAAATTCCTTGTAAGCTAATTTATTCTAGACAGAGTGCATTTTTGTACTTGCACGTGTTCTGTTATTTTGCTACTTGTAAATTGTCAGTCTAGAGAATAACCTTTACAAAAGGTGAATAAGAATTTCCTGTGTTTTATTATCTTCAGAGTTCCACTAGTGTTTTCCATTTTTGGAAAGTAAAAGATCCAAGGTTGAATGTTCTCCAGGATGCTGACAAATTATGTTACAGGTCTTTTCTTAGCAGTTGAAATAAATAGGGACCGTAAAGGCTGCTCTTCATCTTCTGCTGTTATTTCTCCTGAATTATGAAGCAACAGAAACACAAGAATTATTTTAATTCCAGACCACTTTAGTCTTTGTTACCTCTAACATCTGGGAACTGAGTATGTATCAAGGAGTTACATTTCTTATACAGTGATTGAATGGAATTTCTGTTATTGTCAGTATGTTGCTTTCCTAATTTTCTATGCATTATTCTAAATATGGAGTTCCCAGTAACATCGTTGCATAAAATGCATAGAACTTTTTATGTGTTTTATAGGGTTGTGACTCTCAAATGAGCATGTCAGAAGTGTCCTGCAGTGAAAGTACCTCCTCTTGTCAGTCTCTGGTACATGGCTCAGCTCCAGAAATCCTCATCGGCCTCCTTTATAACGCTACAACTGGAAGATTATCAGCAGAAGTGATAAAAGGCAGCCACTTCAAAAACTTGGCAGCGAACAGACCACCCAGTGAGTGAAAATCTTTTTTGATCGTAATGCTTCTGTACTGGTGGGGCTCTCAGTAGCAAGGACTTCAATCCTATCATTTAGTCTTACCCAATCAAAATGAAATAGAGCAATCATCAACTAATCTGTTTCATGTTTTATATTTCTAGTCAGTTGGGAAATAGCAAAAATCTAAAATTCAAAATATTAATTGTGAGTTGACAAGACTGTTTTAATTTTTCATGATGACTGACTAATAAATTACCTTTATCATAATGATTAATTGCTAAATTACTAATGCCTCACATCATAGGCCAAGAATAAAAAGTTCGTGTTTAAAGAGAAAGTACATGCCAGATAATATTAATACAAACACTCTGAACAGTCATTGCTGTTCCTAGGGGGGTTGATACCATAGTCTTTAATTGCTTATGTGCCTGTGTATCTGTGGTAGCAATATATATAGCTTGGGAATGTCAGTGAAGACAACGGAGAAACACATTGAGACCTTTGGCATGTGTACTGTGCAGAAGGAATGTTCATCTTCAGAAAGGACTTGAACTATGTGTTCAAGCATTTGTTCAAAAATACATTTGTCTGAAATATCTGTGAACTTTATATTCTTTTAAATTGGAGCCAGATGGAATGTCACACACACAGAATCACAGAATCACAGAATCACAGAATAGTAGGGGTTGGAAGGGACCTCTGTGGGTCATCGTTGACAAGACTGTTTTAATTTTTCATGATGACTGACTAATAAATTACCTTTATCATAATGATTAATTGCTAAATTACTAATGCCTCACATCATAGGCCAAGAATAAAAAGTTCGTGTTTAAAGAGAAAGTACATGCCAGATAATATTAATACAAACACTCTGAACAGTCATTGCTGTTCCTAGGGGGGTTGATACCATAGTCTTTAATTGCTTATGTGCCTGTGTATCTGTGGTAGCAATATATATAGCTTGGGAATGTCAGTGAAGACAACGGAGAAACACATTGAGACCTTTGGCATGTGTACTGTGCAGAAGGAATGTTCATCTTCAGAAAGGACTTGAACTATGTGTTCAAGCATTTGTTCAAAAATACATTTGTCTGAAATATCTGTGAACTTTATATTCTTTTAAATTGGAGCCAGATGGAATGTCACACACACAGAATGTTTTTACTGTCTCTAATTCTATGGTATAGCTTGAGAAAGTTCAGTAACAAACTTTTAAAAAAAATATTTTTTATTGTTTTTTAAATGATGAGTCTGATGTACCTAAGTTATAGCCAGACATACCTACCTGATCGTCTTGATTTTTTCTGGAGGCTCAGGTTTTAGCCCCTCTTTCTGCTTCCTAATCCCTGGATTTGTATGGCACTAGCAGATTATCTGACACTGATAGATTATGTAGCAGGCTGCCAACATTTTATAAGTGGTTTGCACATCTCACTTTGTCTTCAGAGTTTAGAAAGTAAGCCAAACAACTTGAGACTGATGCTCTCCTCTTTCTTTCTTGAACCATGTTTTATTCCATTCGTTAATTACATTTGGCTCAACCTTATTCTGCTTTGCTTTCTCTATACTTTTCACACTGATGGAGCCAGACTTGGTTAACCTGGTCAGAGGAAGAAGGCAAAAGAAGACTCTCTAATACTTTTATATAATTAGGTGAGGAGGCTGGGGAGGGGGAGGGAATGAATGGGAGAGAAGACCTGGAGAGAAGGGACCATGTGTTCCCTTAAAGCAAACAAACAGTAGGTGGCTTATGCTTATCTTTCTGGAATTTCTAGATGAAGCCAAGTTTTTCTTAATATTTAGAATATGCATGTTAGATGGGGGTTCAGTACTTGTTTTGAAGACAGATATGTTCATTCCCTGGTATATTAATTCCCAAAATGTGCTCAGTGGGTCCATGCTGTCTAGGTGAAAGCTTTGTGTATCACTGGGGTCAAAAATCTGTTTCAGATTGCAAGAAAGCAGCATACAACATGGCACATAGCCTTATAATACCATGTTCTGTCTAACCTTCTTGGAGGGGAGATCCTTGTGTGTTACCTTTTGTCATCCCCTGTGAAGGACAGGGGAAAGTTTTGATGTTCTTGATAGTAATAGTCTGGTTCTGTTTAGGCAAATGTGGATTTGGAGTTCTGTTGTTTCTAGAAAGCTGGAAATTTAGGCACTTTCTGGGTCTGGTAAGACCATGCACAGAATATTGTGGTATCTGAATTTCTCCTGTGGGCTGTTTTGTGCCATCCCCTTCCCTTTGCCACTGGCAGTGATAGCACCTTCACTTAAACTCCTGCACCCAGGTGCATAGCACTTCCATTTCCTAACTCCCTGTCACGAGCATTGTGGACACGTACCAGCCACTCTCTGTGCCATCATTTCCACAGAATGAAAACTAAGGTCCGTAGGGTTGGTGATGAAATGCTCTGATCAGATTTGTTGTTTGGATTAGCAGTGGTCCAAAGACCTGAGAAGTGCTGCAAAGAACATACACAGGTCAGTTCTCATTCAGGTGTTGAGAAGCTGTGATAGAAAGGGAAGCAATTATTCTTTCCCACATGCGATCCTTTCTGTAGTCTGGGGGCTATGAGCCTATGCATTTTTTGTGAAATGCTTCTGCAGCAAATATGGACTGAGTCCTATATTACTACTTCTTGGTAGTATATACCCCTCTGCTTCATATTTATAAGTTATATAGTAACCCATTTAGCAACTGACTACAGGCAAATAGGTCAAATCTTGTAGACAATAACAGCTGATGTTAGAATGTGTCTTCGTTTCTCTGTGTGACAGTTAATATTTTGTCTGAGATCAAGAAGCTTTTTGGTATCCTTTAAAATTTTGTTGAAACGGGGTATGAGCTTTTGCATATTAAATGCATGTGTGTGTATGCATGCAAACACACATTAAATCCATAACACATGGATTTTAACAAGTGAGATCTTTACATTTTAAATAGAGACCCATAGTTGAATTTCAGGTGTAACCATCTATTACAGAGTTTAGATCAGTCATTCTCATGCCCAAGTCCATCACTACTCTGGAACTAAAGTATTACAATCAAATGTCTGTAACTGTAGAAGCTAAGGGCAAAACCTGCTTAGTTTTCATTTCAGTGATTTTTCATTTTATTGCTTTTAATATATGAAGTATAATACTGTGTGCAGTTTCTCGTAATATGCTGGAATTTGCATGAAAAAGCATAAGGTTTGATAAAAAGGATACAGTGATTTTTACCTAGTCTTCTAGAACCTTATCGTTTGCATGATTCTTTCTATGTTGAGTGTGCTTTAGAACCCAGTAGCTATTAGTGCGAAGATAACCTGTTATGTAAGCGGTGTAATTTTTGTTAGAGATTACACAAAAACTGCACAAAATTTTCATTTCATTAAATTTTACCCAACAGTCCTTTCGTTCAATCCTTTTTCTGATCTATGCTGCTAAGGTTTTGTGTTCTTCCACTCCAGTGAATAGTGTTTCCTCTGAAACTTTAACCTTTGATCCTCTCTCACCCAACTATTGACATCTGGTCATTATTTCTTTTACTGCTTTCCACCCCCTGTTGTCAGACGGACTGTTCTGTTGTCTAAAACACTTGATAGGTGGACAGGTTTATATAATCCGAGGTGAGTTCCTGTAGAAACTAATTGGATGTTGTCTTTTTCATGCAAAAGTAAACTCGCCAGCAGTAAAGCTATCCACGGCTGCCTACCATATTGGTTTATAAAAGTACATATTTATTATTTGTGGCACTCTCTAATGCAAAAGTTGCATTTATCTCTGATTATGGATGTTGGGATTTCAGTGTACCTGCAAAGGGAAAATATTCAGTATGTTTCTTTTTACATAAATTCAAATCTTTTAATAATATTATTCATTAACATGAAAATGACAGGAATAAAGAATGAAAAAACATTGTTTTATGCAGTTTCATATATCTTAAAGTCAGTTACAACTTCATGAAATGCGCATCCTTCCGTAGGAGCATGGCTTGGTGCATCTAGTCAAATGAAAATAGAGCTTTAAAAATAAAGGTTTATATGCAAATACTACCACACAATGTGTGCTAACCTCATTTACTTACATCAGCTTCTTAAATGTATTTCCTAAGAGCACTGTACAAGCTATATTTTAAAATATATTGAATTATGCAAAAACTTACTTTTCTTTAAAGATGTATTAAATGTATTCCTTCATGAATCTAGGAATTAAGAGGGTTTTTGTATTGTATAAATATCCACCTTGAATGCACTTTGCTACATTTTTGTCTTCAAAATAAAGAAAATTGAAAAGCCTAAAGTGAGAACCACATCCATGCAGAGATTATTCTTAAGCATTTCATTCTGGCTGTTTTGATATCATCACTGCATATGAACGTTATTTTTTTTTCTCTTCATTAGTTGCCTTCATTCTACTTTGTTTATTCTCTGAAAATTCAGTGGTATGCTTTACAGTGTTGTGGCTAGTTGGAGCTTGCTAAGTGTTAATGCAATTTAAGTTTGTTTAGAACAAATAAGGGGGGTCAACGGGAAGAGGATTATGAGGTATACCTTCAACTTAACCTATTTACATAGTACTGAAGCTAGTTAATTTGTTACTGTGTTTGTAATATTTTGCTTACTTGTCATCTTTCCATGTGGCTGAACTAAGCTGTGTTCAGTCAGCCTGGTATACACCATATCCTTGTGTCTTGTAAATAGCTCATTCTCAAGACCTTTTGTTCTAAGATATCTGACATTCCAAAATATGATTTATTTTGTAGATACATATGTGAAGTTAACACTGCTGAACTCGATGGGGCAAGAGATGTCCAAATGCAAAACTTCAATCCGCCGAGGACAGCCAAATCCAGTCTACAAAGAAACCTTCGTTTTCCAAGTGGCACTGTTTCAGCTTTCAGATGTGACGCTCATACTGTCCGTATATAACAAGCGCAGCATGAAACGCAAAGAGATGATAGGGTGGATTTCCTTAGGTCTCAACAGCTCAGGAGAAGATGAGCTGAATCACTGGACTGAAATGAAAGAATCTAAAGGACAGCAAGTATGTAGATGGCATACTTTGCTAGAGTCGTAATGAACGGTACAAAGTGGAGTTTAAGGAGTTTAAGGGAGTTTGGTCTCTCAAGAAGATAGTCAGCCCCGGTCACAATCAACAGATTTGTTCTGGAAGTAAAAAATGAAAATTGAGGTCAACATTCCATCGTAAAGAATGCACAACATGCAAAATGGCGGGATTTAATATATAATCTTCAGTTAGTATCAGACACTTCCTTGGTGTCAGAGAAGCCTTGCTGTACACAGATACGTTAGTGGTCCCTTCCCCATCCCCCTGATGCTGTATTTGTTTGGGTTTGTTCTGTGATTTTCAATTCAGAAACATTTTATGTAAGGTTCTCCAAACTACTGTAAGCTCCTCCTTGTGTACTTTTTGTATGGCTCTAATACTGTAGCTTCTGACCTGCCTGCATTCAGATTAAAGGTCAATAATTTGCACTTTGAGAAAAAGTTAATGATCTGTAGAGCAAAAAAACCCACCAACCCACCAGTGAAGAGAAGAACACTTAGTAATATAGCAAATATGAATATGCTGTTGTTTTACACTGAGTTTCTTTCCAGGACCTTAGTACAAGTAAGTTTTCATTTTTTGATATGCAGTTGGTTTGAAAAATACTAGCATTTGGGCATCAGGTGAACCTTGACATCAAACTAATGTTTCTTCAATCTGTGACAGGAACGAGCTCTATATATGGCATAAATTGGGTTTTTCCCTCTTGCCTGTACTTCTGCCTAATCCAAAGAGACCAGATCATAAGTTTGGTCCCTTCCAAATCTCCTTAGACAGGTTGTACTGTAAAACTATGTAACTTTCTGTTGAAAGCACTGCCTGTATTCATGTATTCCAATGTAGGAAGCTCATAGAGCACGACTTAACTAAAATATATTTTCGTTAAACAAATTGATACAGATTTCTTTAAAATGCCAGTAGCTGTAAGTTAGGTTGAAACACTGTGAAGGAAGCGGCACCAGTTGAACTACTCTGAATGAATGCAAAATACTGTGACTGCAGTTGAAACTGGTATCCATTTGAGTCTCTTCTAAGCTGTTTTAGAGATTACCATATGCTGTTTGTTGGAAGTAGAGATAGACCAGGAGTTTTTAGCTTTCTTCTTGAAGAAGAGAACATCAGTAAGTTATTTTTCTAGTGATTTGCCAGTAATTGAATGAATGTTCGCACCCAAAATAGAAGTTTGCTTTGCTTATGTTCAGGTTGGGAAACACAGCTTTCTAACGACACAATTAAGAAGCCACGGTATCCGAGGAAAGTTTGCCATCAGATACATACTCATGGCTTCCACTGAAAGTGCTTCTGAGATTCCTATTTGTCCCAAATACGTTAACTGGAATCACACTAATTTACTGACCGCTGAATCTAGTTCATATTACTGAAATTGTGGATTATTAAGTAAACATTTTTAAAATGCTTCCCAAATCAAATATTCTTTTTGCCTGTAATTGTAAGTTTCATTTACTTTTAATTGTTATTGTATGGAAAGCAAGTGATTTTTTTTCTTATAGGTGATGGTGTTGTCTTACAAATATGAGACCTCACTGACTGTTGTAGCACTTGGTGGGTAGAAGAGTGAAGTTTTGGATTTTGTTGAGAGAATTGGTGGTAGCCTAGAGTGTTCTCATTAGGACAAATGTTTTTCTCTCGAATTTCTTTATAATACCTTTGAACAATCATAGCTTTAGGGTATACAAACAGTCAAGTACAGTAAGACTGGAGACAGTGAGTATGCTGTAATAAAGATATTTCACATGGTTCTCAAATTCTCACACTACTTAACAATTTCATTAAGTCCTTTTTAAAGGATATTGTAATTCCATTTCTTGGTTTATTTGGTGCCTTTTCAGGGGTTTATTTGCAGAGCCAGGCTTTCAGATTTTACTGATTTAAAAATTAAAACATTATTACAGGCCTTTTTTTTTCTGGTATTGCGCTGCTGCTTCACTTACAGAAGCTTTATTTACTAAATACAAATAATGCAAAAACTTTCTTTAAACAGGAGTGGTCTTGCAGTAATACAAGTTGTCTCTTTCCATCCTATTTGTTGCTCAGTTTGTGAAATGTAATGTTGAGTGTAGAATTTAATAAAAAATCAACATTAATTTTATATGCATAAGGCAGATGCTCAGATTTTCCCAAACCTTTCAGTTTTCCATACAGTAGAAGCATTGGTTTGGAAGCTGATCAAAAGCAAATTTTCAGTGACCATGGAAGTAGTTTTACTCATTCTGTTTGTGAATATTTGGATGCTCTTTCCTAAAGCTGAAAGTTGTCTCTGGATGGTTGTCTCTTGGTACAGGTTTTGCTTTATAAAATAATGCACAGTATTTAACAGCAAGAACTGAGGAAATTAATTCCAGTGGAGAATATACTTTACATCACCATTGAGCAGATGAAGAAGTCAGTTGGAAGGTGGAGCAAATAACCTCTTATAGAACTAAAGTGTCATGACTTGGGTTTCTGTTTGTAGGCTGCGTTGCTTCGGTTTTACATCTAACCCTTCAGCTTTCTAAGACACTGAAATCTTAATTTAGACATAGTAGCAATTTATGGTAGTCTGTTGGGCACATTAGGGAAGAGGAAGCTCTAGGTCATGTGACTTTTCCCAAGGTATCTGAGTCCAGTAGGTGCTTCACAGGAAGAGGTTTGGCTTACTTGGACTGACACTGTACAAAGGCTGGGAGCTGAATATATAGAGAATGGAAATGAGTGTTTAATTTTGAGGCAGTGGAACACGGATTTTCGATGCAAAACCAGTCACACCAATAATTGGATTCGCCCTGGGATGTTGATGAATTAGTTACAGTATCAATAGCTGTCGTGTTGGGTTTCTTTCCTAGATCCTGTTCTTACAAGTTGTTTGTCATTTTGTTTTTCTTATGGCTTTATGCAAACCTGCACTTTTGTATTTGAAATCTGCCTTTAGATACTGGGTTTTTTTAAACCCTGCATAAGGGCTTATACATACAGTGTGGTTTTGTGCATTCAGTGGAGCCTTAAGCATGGAACAGAATTTCCAAAGAACAAAGTATCAGAAACAAATTAGAAAGAGGCGTTTGTGTTCTCCGTAGAGTTGTCTGTGCTTTTTTTTCATAGCTTCGTGCTGTTTACCTTTGTTCAAAAGTACAGGAAGTACTTGGAAGAGTTGATCGAATTAATTACTTTCTCTATGCCAGTATACCGCGTAGAGATTTCAATACTTGAACTGAATCTGTTTCCTGACAGTGTAGCCTTAAATAATTATAGAACAGTGACATTCTTACAAATTCTGTTCTTGAAAACACTGCATCCTTTCTGCGCATGATCTGTTTGGTTTAATGTTTAGAACATTTCACACAGGTCTTCTTAAAGTATTGCAAATATGAGAAAAGCTGGTTAGTTCTTTTCTATGGTAACAGCAAGATTGTGAAGGGCAGTACAGGCAAGCATGAAATCACTGTGCAGAAGGAGGAGAGGTTGTACAGCATCTGCAGGACATCTCTGTCTCCTACACAGGTGGAGGCAAGGAGTCAGCAGAGCCATGCTTCTGCTCCCCGTTCAGCCAGGCGGCACGGGGAAGGAGGATGGTGCTGGTAAGATTCAAAGCTCGGTCCCTGTGGTGCTGCTGCCACATGCTCGGGACTTACGACAGCCACATTATAACCACAGTACGAGCTCTGACGGCAAGAGCAGAAGTTAGGCAAAGTCTAAGTTCTGCTACTGGAAAAACAGGACAGAATTTCTAAATCCAACTAAAATCCTCTAACCTCATTAGTAAGTAGATTTCAAAATATGGTGAGCCCTTGGAATAAGTATATGTGCTTTTACTGGAGCTGAACATTGTTTATCTATGAAGAGCATACCTGAGCTGAAAACAGATTTTATGCCGTTTACTGTAGGAGATATTTTCACCTGTAAATTTTTGCAACCATTCCTCACAGCAGATGCAGTGCCAGCATCAGTACCTTCCCATTTTTCACACCTTTGCAGCAATTTTTTTTGTTGTCTAAAATTTGTGTTTGTGTTACTGGTTTATTCTCTCTTCTCCCTAATGACTTGCTCCTGCAAACTTCCCAGTGCTCTGAGAAGCTGTCTGTGGCAGTCATTGGACCTTAGAAGTCAAGGGCGCTCTGCACCTCTTTACAGTGAGGTACTGGTGCAAAATTTCTGTGACCTGTCCAATGCCCTAAGATTCAATGCAAGCCAATAGTTTTAATATGGTGAAGCAGCAGCAGAAGATTTTTTTCTTTGAAGAAGACATTTTAATGTAAGAATTGAATACAGATCACTCTTGCACATACAAGTTCTAACAAAAAGTCTGTTGTAAAATCAGAGAATGGAGTTTTAGGGGAAGCCTTTCGGCCTGAGCAGTTCCAATGTGAAACTAACAGCAGAATGCCCTTTCATTTACCTGAGAGTTGTATTGAGCCCTTTACTTATTCATCGCTTTTCCAGAGGGAAAAAAGCTGTCGTGTTTAAAGCAGTCTTTAAAATTATGGCTTGTCACTTGTAAGGCAGACTGACTTCCTCCTGAAGCTGAATTCTCAGTAAAAGCTAAATATTCGTTTCATTCTCCCAGTGATGTGCATGCCTACTTGGCATTAATATTAATGAGAGGAGCCCATGGGCATCAACAGAAGAGTAGACCTGACCCTGAAAGTGCGAAGGGCAGTAGGATCAGTGGGTTAGAGCAGTGCTACAGCATGGCACCTGCAGTACAACCAAATATGATTTCAATTATGAATGGAAGTAAAAAAGCAAATACCCAGATACTGTCACAAACTTATTATTTAATCATTTCTCTCTTATTTTGTTTCTTTTCCTCAGCTTCTGAAATGTTTTTAAAACTTAATATTATAGATGTTAAAGCAATCCCCAAACATCTTGATCATTTTAACTGGAGACTTCAGCAAAGCGTATTGTTAAACCAAGCCATCAAGAATGTTCTGTATTTTGGTCTGTTTAACTCAACTGCCACATTTTGCAGTGCGTCACAGCTGGATTTCAGACTACTTTGTTCTGATGGT